TAGGGTTCAATACTATGCCTGGTTTGGTTTCAGACATCCGCTGATAAGGGGAACTACTATAATTTGTTACACAACAACATTAGATAACTAATACCTACAGCAATTGGCAGTACCTATTACCATTTAAATAACATGCAAAACAGCTCTAAAAGCAACAATTCCACCATGGGTATTTATTTTATTATTATTATAATTCAAAAAGAGCTGTAAGCACTTGGGTATCTATATTGAAGAGAAAAAAAAATCAGATGGAATCAAGCCAGCATAACAGAGGATATGTATTGTAACGTTAACATTAAAAAAAAACATAGAAACCTGTAAAGAATTTTTGTGAGTTTATTTGAGCCAAACTGTCAACATGTGCAGGGAAGCAGAACCTCAAGGAATTGAGGTAATGCTCCAGAGAATGGCGGGTTACATTTGTATTTATACATTGCAATCAAAGGAAAGGGCCGTGGGTGTGTTACATGAAATCCATTGGTGACAGACTAGAGAAGTGGGAGAAAGCAAAGTAGAGAAACTGCTGGGATTGGATAAGAAGTAAAAGGATAGACACTTCAGGAACAATGAACATGATAAGGAAGGTATTTGTGGTATCTGTCCTGGCCCTGGCGCCCAGCACATTAAGTTGTGCCCTGGGGTCCAGAAAAAGGGAAGTTACAAGTTACCCAGACATTTCACAGGATATGTTCTTACAGATGCAAAAAGACAGATAGGCTCAGTTAAGGTAAAGGTTGACCTTGTCTGTGAGGACCCCAGCCTAGGATATAACTACCCACCCATAACCGCTTTTAGTGAAAGTTTCATTTCAGACTAGCCTTTGCGGTGACTTTAGGTCTCTGAGTTTGCAGGACTGCCATGCAGGCCTCCCCTGAGTTTGTCAGGTCAGCATGTGGCTCATTTCGTCCACAATAGCATATTTTCAACTCTGAAAAAGTGAATGTCCACAAATAAACTATAGTGCATTGCTTCTGTGGAAGGACCTGCAGTGCGTGATCTAGGAGCTGTGATGTAGCAATAACTCTTTTTTAAAAAAAAAATATTTTATTGATTTTCCACAGAGAGGAAGGAAGAGGGATAGAGAGCTAGAAACATCGATGAGAGAGAAACATTGACCAGCTGCTTCCTGCACACCCCCTGCCAGGGATGTGCCCACAACCAACATACATGCCCCCGACCGGAATCGAACCTGGGACCTTTCTGTCTGCAGACTGACGCTCTATCCACTGAGCCAAACCGGTTTTGGCAGCAATAACTCTTAAAAAAATATTTCTTACTGATTTCAGAGAGAGAAAGAGGGATAGAAGCATCAATGATGAGAGAGAAATATTGATCTGTTGTCTCCTGCATGCCCTCCTGCGAATCGAGCCCACAACCCAGGCATATGTCCTGACCAGAAATCAAACCATGACCTACCAGTTCATGGGTGGCCACTCAACCACTGATCCACACTGGCCAAAATAACTCTTATTAAGTGACAAGACAATCTTGTTTAGTAGTTAGAGGGTCAGTCCGTGCACCAAAGGGTCGTGGGTTTGATTCCTGGTCAAGGACACATACCTGGATTGCAGGTTTGTCCCCAGCCCTGGTTCAGCATGTGCAGATATGTCTCTCACATAAATGTTTCTCTCTCTCTCCTCTCTTTTTCTCCTTCCCTCCTCTTTCCTCCCTCTCCCTCCTTTCCACTCACTCTGAAAATCAATGGGAAAAAATAGCTTGGGAGAGGGTTAACAACACAAGATAAAAAAGTGACAAGATACATAGTATTTATGTAAGAAACAACCAGAGCTTTTAGGATTGAAATCATCCCCAGCTCACTGTCTCCATCAAGATGACTTCTTATGATGACATGCTGTTCCAACAGGACTTTATTTGGGAGGATAAAGTTGCAAATAACTGTATTGTTTCTTTTAAGAACTTTCTGGAGAGAATCTATTTATCTGAACAATAGGCTATTCAACTAGTCATATCAGAGGGAATAAGTCTCATCTCAGAGCAACAGAGGTCAACTGAACACGTTCAGGGTCTGTTTACTCTTCAAGAACTTCCAATCCCTCAGCTAGAAGTGTCCTTCAGCCGAAACCGGTTAGGCTCAGTGGATAGAGCGTCAGCCTGCAGGCTGAAAGGTCCCAGGTTCAATTCCGGTCAAGGGCATGTACCTTGGTTGTGGGCACATCCCCCAGTAGGGGGTGTGCAAGAGGCAGCTGATCAATGATTCTCTCTCATTGATGTTTCTAATTCTCTATCTCTCTCCTTTCCACTCTGTAAAAAAATCAATAAAACATTTTTTTTTTTTAAAGAAGTGTCCTTCGTTCCTGAGTGTTCTATCAGGAGCTCTGCCCTGCAATAATCAGGTTCCCATATTGAAAGACCCACCCCAAAAGTAATAATCAGGTTCCCATATTGAAAGACCCACCCCAAAAGCCTTATCAATACAGGGTGAGGCAAAAGTAGGTTTACAGTTGTTCATGTGGAAAATAATATGTATATGTGTATAAGGCCAATATGCAAAGTGTCCCCTTGGGAATTCAACCTGGAGACTGGGTGTTTGTGTCCCAATAATTCCATAAGGGACGTATGCACAGGTGACCTAGGGTGCCTCAGCCAGAAATCTGACACGTATGACCCTAGGTATTTAATTAATAATCCACCGAGCATAAATTACACAGGAGACAAATGTTCAATGCACGAATCACTCACGGTTTATTTACCAGAATCCTGGTGGATTCCAGAATCCTCGGCAGGCCACCCTGGGGATCCACACTGATAAGACACACACACACACACACACACACACACACACACACGGTTCACAGAGGACTTTGCAGCTGCAGCTCGGCTTGAGTTGAGGCCTCTCACACCGGCTCACGGTCCTCGTCTCAGGGTTCAGGGCTCGTTGACGGGTGCAGGCAGGCAAAGTGGAGAGCGACCCTCTGTGGAGGAGCAGAAGGAATGTCTCTGATCTTCTGTGGAGCTTTCTCTTTTTATGTGTCTTCAATGGTCAGATATGTCTTCCGTGTGTCGTATCAGCAGGTCCCAGGAGCCTTGCTATCCGGTCAGATCACTTTATCTATTTCCTACATACAGGTCACTCAAGGGTGCTTATCAGTTTGTTTACATTCCATTCCATACTTTTAAATATCATACTTCAATTCCACACTTTAATACTTATTAAATCTTATATGTATCCTTATTACTATTACTATAACAGTTTGACTGCTCACTATGACATGCGCTGACCACCAAGGGGTGGCACAGAACAAAGGAAGGCCCCAGCTGGCAGCCAGCAGTGAGGGGGTGCAGCAGAGGGGGCGGGAAGGAAGGCCCAGCCAGAAGACCCCGATCGGCCCTGATCACTAGCCAGGCCTAGGGACCCTACCCATTTATGAAGTTTGTGCACTGGATGTCCAGGAAATAAATAATAATACAAGAGCTGAAACTCTAAAGTCTCTTAGTCTTTGGGTTCTCCTCCGTGTTGCATTTCTCTTCAGTTGAAGAAACTGGGCCCTTTGTTCTGTAGCCTCACCTGGGCTAAATTTGTTTATCGTAAGACTACAGGCCCAGTGCACAAATTTCTGTATGGATGGGGTCTGACCAGCCGCACTGATTGGGGTGGGGGGACTCATCAGGGGTGGGGCTGGCTGGGAGGAGGGGCTACAGGTTGTTGGCGGGCTGGCCCCACCCTCTGGTTGAACTCCAGCCCAGGGGACAATTTGCATATTACCCTTTTTTTTTTTTTTTAATAATACTAAAGGCCCAGCACACAAATGTCTTTATTTATTTATTTATTTATTTATTTATTTAATTCAGTGCACGAATTTATGCACTTGTGGGATCCCTTGGCCTGGCCTGTGGGATCAGGCCAAAACTGGCTCTCCAACATCCCCCGAGAGGTCCTGCATTGGGAGGAGGAGCAGGCCAGGTTGAGGGACCCCACTGGTGCACCATCAAGGTTACAGAGGGACGTGGGAGGTTGGACAGCCAGGGAGGGACCAAGGGAGGGCTCCAGAGCGTGTCTGGTCCATCTTGCTCAGTCCAAATTGACCAGACCCCAGCAGCAAGCTAACCTACTGGTTGGAGCCTTTGCCTCCTGGTGGTGGTCAGTGCATGTCATAGCAAGTGGTTGAGCCACCTTAGCATATCATTAGCATATTACACTTTGATTGGTTGAATGGCTGACCAGTCAACTGGACTCTTAGCATATTAGACTTTTGTTATATAGGATGATGATGATGATAACCACTGGTGGGTATGCAAACTGCTCTCTCTGAATGACAGCATTTATAATGTTCGGTCCTTTCGTAAGTTTCTATCATGTATTCCTTTTTAAAAAATATATATATTTTATTGATTTTTCACAGAGAGGAAGAGAGAGGGATAGAGAGTAGAAACATCGATGAGAAAGAACCATCGATCAGCTGCCTCTTGCACACCCCCCACTGGGGATGTGCCCGCAACCAAGGTACATGCCCTTGCCCGGAATGGAACCCGGACCTTTCAGTCCACAGGCCGACGCTCTATCCACTGAGCCAAACCGGTCCCGGCCATGTATTCCTTTTTTGTGTGTGTGTAATTGTTGTGCCATTAATCCTCCTCCAAGGATATTTTTTCCACTGATTTTTTAGAGAGAGTGGGGATGGAGAGACAGAGAAACACATACATACCCTTGACCACAATTGAACATGGGACCATTCAGTCCGCAGGCCAATGCTCTATCCACTGAACCAAACCAGCTAGGACCCTAGATACAGAGTTTAAAAAAAAATTATTCTTGGGAGAATGAGAGCAAACAAAGTGTGAAGAGGTGAACAGCTCTAGTAGCATGAGACCTGAAACCTCTTAGGCAAGAGGGTCGCTGGGAGAGATGCCAGTGGCTACAGCGACCCTGGAGGCGCCGAGGACGCCCTCATGTGGCCGCAACTCCATTTCGCACAGGCCCGCACGTGCGACTTCATTTCCCACAATTCCCGCTCCGCTTCCGGTGTGGCCGGGGCGCTGTGGACGGCTTCCGGGTTTGGGCCTGGCGCTGCGCTGGTGGCGGCGGCGGCGGCGGCGGCGGCCGGGAGGGACACGGGAGGTGGGAGCAGGGGGTCCGGTATGGACGTTTCGGGGCAGGAGACGGACTGGCGGAGCGCCGCCTTCCGGCAGAAGCTGGTCAGTCAAATGTGAGTAGGGGCCGGGGTGGCGGGCGGGGTCACCGGACCTTCCCCCCGCAGCCCCCCCACGCGCGGCGGGCAAGGCCCGGGCTGGACCCCAGGAGTCTTAGGGGCCCCGGGACCCTCGGGGGCTCGAGGGCGCTGGAAGGCCAAAAGCATCGGGGACCCGCGTGTGTCCGAGGGCGCGGTCCTCCTCCGGCGATCCTCCTCCTCCGGCGATCCTCCTCCTCCGGCGGTCCCTCTCGTTCGTTCTCGGCCGACACGGACTGCTGGTTAGCTTTCCTGGGGCCGAACTATGAAAACCACCGAGCCTTGGCTTATGAGTCATCGTCCTGGGCTTTCTTATTCGTCATTTGTGTGCTTCGGGTGCTGACTTTCCCCTGCTTTGAATCACACTGAATAAGAAAAAGGAAGGGGACAGCCCACAGTGGCTTTAGCAGGTCTGGGTGCTTTGTGATTCTTCTTCCAGGAAAGCGTACCAGGATGGGAGAAAGATTGGGAGGAGGTAGGTGGCAGGTGGTGAGGTTGGGAGGCTAGCTACTTGCGCTGTGGGCGGTGGGCTGCGTGCGCCGCGCCCCCTTCCTGTCCCTCCCCTTCCCCCATCTCATTCCCCTTCTGCCCCCCAGAATGGACCTTCTGGAAGGGTGACAGGAGGAAGCTGTCAGGAAGCTGGTGTGGATTGGGAGGAGGGAGTGAAGGGCTGGGGTTAGTGCCTTCTCCTTAGTGTCGGTTATGGAACCCTTCAGTGCACGGCTGCCAGGGCACCCTAGGCTTCACCCCAGGAACTCCAGCTCCTCACTGCCCACAGCTTGCTCCGTTTAGCAGTCTTTTCCTGAGCTTGCTGGCATGTTGTGCTAGCCACAGATTTGCCTGAGACAGCCCCTGCCTTCAGGGAACATACTGTACTGCTACCATAAAGGAACAGTTACAGTGCAGTCATTCTCCTAAGAGTTGACAGTCTGCTTGAACAGGCCAGGGGCAGCTGAATAAACCGAGTTCTCGAAAGACAAGTAGGAGTGTGATGGGGCCATCGTTTCAAGCTAAGGAGCTGAAAGTGTGAGCACGCAGTGCATGGCGGATATTGCTGTGGGCTGAGAGTTCTGGGATTTGGGGAATTAGGAGGTTCAGGAGATGATAATGGAATGAGGGTGAGCAGGTGCTGACATGTTAATGCAGCGCGGAGGAATTGAGCCTGTATTGGCACGTGGCCTGCTTTGAAGTAGGGAAAAGCCAGAGTTGGGAAGATCCCCCTAGTCCCAGGAGGTGGATGGATGGAGAACAGAGGAGAGAGGCTAGTGAGGCCATTATGAGAGTTTTGAGCTCTTGTGGTTCGGGGACCTGCTATTTCTCATCCTTGCATTTTCCATTGTTTGATCACAGCCTGTCACATTGGTCCAGAAAATGGTTGTGGAATGACCTCGTCAGGCTAGGGTTGATAAAGGCTTGCATTATACACTGGTAGGAACTGAAAGAGGAAGATGATGCCAGAGAAAGGGGAGCGTGAGCATTGACAGCCATCCTTGATGACTAAGTTGGATGGAGGGGGTGGGTGCAGCCCTGTGGAAGGAAGGAAGTGGGGCGGAATGCAGGGAAACCTCTTAGTCCATTGGAAGGAGTGGGCATTGCAGAGTATTGCAGAATCAGAGGACATTGTTTTTTTTTGATGCACTGGAGTTATCGATAGGTGAATTCTTTTTTTTTTTTTTTAAATATATATTTTATTGATTTTTTACAGAGAGGAAGGGAGAGAGAGAGAGAGAGAGAGAGAGAGAGAGAGCTAGGAACGTCGATGAGAGAGAGTCATCGATCAGCTGCCTCTTTTATACCCACTACTGGGGATGTGCCCGAAACCAAGGTACATGCCCTTGACCGGAATCGAACCTGGGACCTTTCAGTCTCCAGGCCAACGCTCTATCCACTGAGCCAAGCCGGTTTTGGCATATAGGTGAATTCTTGAGGGATGAAATCACTTCAGGGCTCTAGCCAGAAGCCCACCTCCCAACCCTGGGGGAAAGGTTCCTTTTTTGGGGGGTCTAGAATTTAAGAACAGGAAGAATGAGTTGCAACGAAAGAAAATGGGGAAGGTGGGGAAAGGTCAGACAGCTGGGAGGGCAATTGAAGTTTCTGGGTGTCAGGGACTGACTGGATTCCTCCTAATTCGGCTTCTTTTTGCTTCCAGGGAAAGTAGGTTCCTTTTTCTTTTCTTTTTGTTACCAGATTGCTGCTTGTGTGTTTGCTTTCTATTGCTCCGGTAACAATTTACCACAAATAGCCTATATAGTAAAAGCCTAATATGCAAATGGTCCCCTCTGGTGGGCGTTGGACCAGCATTCCACCGGGAGACAGCTGGGAGTTCAGCCACTTGCTATGAAGTGTGCTGACCAGCAGGGTGACACGTTGAGACCTCTTGCCAGTTAGCTGGGGGCAGGGTGACAGGGCTGGAGGTGCGGTGAGAATGCAGGTGTCTGTGGAATTTGCTCTCACTCCCCCTGTTACCCCCCCCCCCCGCCCCCCATGCCCTGGGGAACTAGGAGGCTGAAAGTGTCGGGTTCCTATGAGACCTCTTTTCTGGTGGCTGAGCTGCAGCTGCAGGGACCACAGGAGCCTGCTGGGTTCCCCTTGGTTTCCCGCAGGAATTGGTCTGCAAGGCCTCTGCCCGCTTGGCATCGCTGGGCGGCCCAGAGGCCCACGCTGCACCCCAGCCTGGGTGTCCAGCCACGCTCAGTGCATCTTCATGTGGGGATTTGGGTGCCGTGACTCAGCAGAGGAGGTACCCGGGGCCCAGGTGCTGCCCAGAGCCCAGAGGTCAGCTGGGACCTGCCCTTTCACACCAGATGCCTGTGCTTCCATCACCAGCCAGGCCTAGGGACCACACCTGTGCAGGAATGTCTTGCACCAGGCCTCTAGCACATAAAACAATATAAATTTATCTTACAGTTTCTTTAGATCAGAGTTCTAGGTAGGCTCAGCTGAGTCTTCTGCTTAGGGTCTTATAGGGCTGAAATCCAGATGTTGGCACATGTGCATTTCTTCCTGGAGGCTCTGGGGTAGAATTTGCTCTTAAGCTCACTTTGGGTTGTTGATGAAGTTCAGTTCCACGCAGTTGTCATACTGAAGTGTCCTCATTCCTTGCTGTTTGTTAGCCAGGGGTCAGTCTTTGTTCCTAGTGGCTGCCTGCATTCCTCATGCCTTTATGTAGCCCCCTCCAGCCAGGGCGGGTTCTTTAGCCAAAGAAAATTCTCTACCAAGGACTCACATAGATGGGGCCCTCTGGGATAAATCAGGATGATATCCCTATTTTGAAGTCTGTAACCTTAATTACATCTGGAAAAGCCCCTTCTGCCATATAATGTAGCGTATTCACAGGTTCCTGGGACTAGACATGGACGTCTTTGGGGAATCCTTCTGTTTACCACTGCTGGCATGAGCAGCTTCAAAGGTTGTCTTCCTAACCTGATGTGGGATCCTCAGTTCTCAGATGTGTTCTCTCCAGGGTTCACTTTGAAAGTTGCGATTCTTGGTGCCTTAATTTATTGTGTTCACAGGGTTAAAAATAAGAATTTGGGTTAGGATACTTGACATATTGTCAATTGTAATTTTCTTTGGTGTTTATGCTGTTGTTTAAAAGTTGGCCATCCGCCGAAACCACTTTGGCTCAGTGGATGGAGCGTTGGTCTGAAGACTGAAGGGCCCCAGGTTCCATTCCGGTCCAAGGGCATGTGCATCGGTTGTGGGTACGTCCCCCGTGGGGGGTGTGCAGGAGGCAGCTGATCGATGATTCTCTTTCATCGATGTTTCTAACTCTCTATCCCTCTCTCTCTTCCTCTCTGTAAAAAATCAATAATAATAATAATAAAAGTTGGCCATCTTGGGAAATGTTTTGAGCCCAAGTAATTTGTAGTTGAGCAAGGGAATAAAGAAAATAATGAAGAACCGAGAAGTTCTGATGGAAGGGAAAGCATCTGGTAACTAGTTCACTGTCTCTGCCTAGCTCTTGAGCATTTAACAAGCGAACAGTGCTGCCGAGTGCAGGCTAAATAGTCTCCCAGCTCCCACTGAGAAAAGCCCCAGTGCCCCTGATGGCAGCCAGGAAGTGCTTGTTGAGACACTGATTTCAGAGTCCTGACCCTTGGCTTTCTCCTGCCTCTCGACTAGGAGTGAGTGACCTGAGGGATGAAAGTCCTCAGTCATCCAGCTGCTCAGGAGGCCCGGGCTTTCTCAACAGCAACAACAACAGCACCTGCCACGTAATGGCCGTGCTGCGCCAAGCCCCGCTGCAGGAACTGACATGTCAGCTCCGTGATTCTTCATGCTTGCCCTTCCAGTGGGACGTACTTATTACTCTCATTTTTAAGATGAGGAAACAGGCTTAGAAGAGAGGCCCCTGCTGCGTATGGAAGTTATACTCTGCGTGTTATAGATGAATGCTTGCGGAACTGTAGCCGGACAGGAGAGGCCAAATGCTTTTTAATCTTTGAAAGAGATGTCCCGCCTTTTTGGGGTAGAGCGGCAATGGCAGCTGGAAGTTAACCTGAGCCCAGGGCATTGGAAGAGATGGCTAGAGAAACCTGCTGCAGGTGGGCATCCTGTTGGCAATTTTAGCAGCTCCCCCTTGGGTTGGTCGTTGGACTTCCAATAGTGACTGGCCCTGCTGTAACTGGTTGGCACAGCACTGTTGGAGCACAGCAAGCCCCTACGGATGTTTGGCCTCTGCAGAGGCTGCGGCCAGTCCCAAACCCCACCAGCTCCCTTTTGTAGGTGACCCAACCCTCCTACCACAGCTGCAGCCCTTACATCTGTTTCTGACCAGACTCTTTCAACCGTTTCTGCCATTCCCGATGAGGTGGCTGTGGCTAGTCCAGGACCCATGTTCTGTGGCGGGAAGGACTTTATTATCTGTCACAAAGGACAAGGGGGTACCTGCTCTCTTTAAAACATTCCTCTGGGCAGTAATAGTGGTCACATACCCAGAGGGTCCATTTTAAAAGGAATTCCAATGACTTTAAAAA